TCTCACAAATGTCCTGTAGGCTTCTTTGAAAGGCTGGAGTCCTCCCGAGCCTCCGAGCTTTGGAGACTCAGCTTCGGAGTTCAGTGTGGAGGGGATCTGAAGCCCCATGTCCTGCAACAATTAACTACGCTCGCCCTTGAGGCCCACGTTTCCTTCCTGTTTGCTCTTGCGCTTTGGCACTTCCGATAACACCACTCTCACAACCTGGCCCAGGCTCTGGAGCAGGGAAGCTGAGTGTCATTGTGGTTAAGAGCAGGGCTGTAGGTGTCAGAGAGACCTGGATTCAAGTCCTGTCCCTCCCCTTTATTAGCTTTTGACATTAGACAAGTTATGTCCATTCATTCAACAACAAATGTATTACACTCCTTCACTGGGTGTTCCAGGCCCTGGAGGTAAAGACAAAGCAAGAAAGACATGGCCTGGCTCTCCCAGACCTCACGTCCCCCCCAGGGAGTCAGACCATCAGCACATCAGGGAATGAGCACCAGGAGGTGACTCAAAAATGGACAGACATTTTGAAAGAGAGCAAGGTAACAGAGTAGGTGAAGCAGGGGCTGGACATGGAGGTTGGGGAGGTGAAATCTGCCCTGCTCCATAGGAGGGGGCAGCCAAGGGGAGGGCAGGGAAAGGGCATTCTGGGGAGTAGGCACAGCAGTGCAAAGGCCCTGGGGCAAGAGCGGGCTCAGCCTATTTGAGAAATAGAAAGATAAGTTTCTTCCTCTGGAAAAAAATATGGCCAGCAAAAATATCCATCCTGGAGGGGTTGGTGTGAGGACGGAATGAACTGAGTACACAGAGCACTTAGCAGACTGCCCACCCGTAAAGGTTAGCTGTTTGTCGTTCTTCAGAAGATTGTTGGAGAGGGCACATCCCGCCCTCCCTCTGTCCCTATCTCTGTGGAACACAGGCCCTTTGTCCTATTTTTTAGAAACAACATTTGTTGTTCCCTCTTTGTGGAATGCATACCCACATCCTTCCCTCCCCAACCCTCCTGGCAAACCACTAATTATCCTCTCTCAGCTTAAATAATGGTCCTTCCCTCCTGCACAGTGGGTGACCTGGCCTGGCAGGGACATCTCTGCAGGGACCCTGCAGTACCCCTCCTGCAAGCCACCACCTGAAGGCTCTGGAAGGGCCTGGGCCTGCCTGGGGCTTCACCTGGCTGCTTGGCCAGTAGTCTTTTCTCTACCTCTAGGAGGTCTAGACCAGGCGTCCTTAAACTACAGCCTGTGGGCCACATGCGGCCCACCTAGGACATTTATCTGGCCCCCCGTGTTTTTGCTGCTGCTGCCTGTCTTGCTTAGCAGCCAACTCATCCTGGGGCCTGCAGTCCAGTCCTCTAAGAGTCTGAGGGCCAGTGAACTGGCCCCCTGTTTAAAAAGTTTGAGGACCCCTGGTCTAGACACTCAGTAAGCAGAGACTAGGACTTGGTAGTCTCTCTCCCTCTGACAGGTTTAAGCATTTATTAAGCAAATAAAACTTAGTCTGTGTTGACCTCAGATGGGTCTAAACATTCATTAAGCAAAGAATAGGACCTGTGTGTTTCTTCCTGTTCTGTTAAACATTCTTTCCAGGTTGCAAAAGATTTATAGGGGCTAACTCTTTGATCTTTTCCAAGGCCTCCAGCAGATGACCTTGGTCTTTTACACCACATCATGAGTTCCCGAGCTGTGACTGAGCTGCACGTACACCACTGCCTGAATGGCACCTGAACCTTGCTCAGACAAGACTCGACCCCATGTGAAAGAACTCCCTTCCCTTAACTCAGGGCTGATGCCATTTTTGGTTGCAGCTCATCTGCGTGCAGATGTATTAACAAGTCTTTGCTATTAACTATACTTGGCCTAATTCTTTGCAGCAGTTCTAACCCTACAATGGCCCACCGCACACCTGGTGTGTGCCCCGCTTCCCTTGGGGGCCCCTCCTCGCTCTCGTCCACCTCCCTGGCCTCCCTTCCTGTCATTGTATCTCGTGGCACCCTGTTCTTTTCCTGAACACACATCTCATGTTCAGACTGTATATGTATGGTTGTTGTCTATTATTGCTGGCCTCGCCATCAATAATGGAAAGTTCCAGAACAGGGCCTGCATCTGTTTTGTTTCTTCACCAGCACTTGAAACCTGCTAAATAAACATTTGTTGACGAATGTCCCCTCCCTCTCCTGTCTTCCTTCACTGCTCAGTCCCCTCCTCATCACCTTCTCCCTGGTCCCCTATGCCACATGCCTCTGCCTGACACCTCCCTGATAACTCCCTCTAGCCCCTAGGGACCCTGATGTCTCCTTGTAGATGGCTCAAGGTGCCTCAAATGCACACATTCCACGCTGAGCCACAACTCTCTCCCTAAATGAGTTGGTGCAGGGCTCCCTGCCTAGGAGGCCAGCCCATCAGTCTATGCCTCGGGCAGGACAGGAACCTCAGGGTCAGTGTTGGTGCCACCCTTACCCCTCTTGTCTGCCTTCCCCTGGGTACTGCAGGTTTTACCCTAGACACCATTCAACTCCATGGTCTGCACCCCCCTTCGCTTCAGCCTGCTCTGAGTGGTGTCTGGGCAGCCTCCCTGTCTGCTCCCTGCTCCAGTTCCCGTGTGGCTCCCAGGCAGTAGCCACAGTGGGATTTAGAAAGCCAGACCTGACCATGGCACCCTTCACTTCTAGAGAAAAGCCCAATTCCCCTCTGCCACCTGCTGCCTCTGGCCCCTCCTCCCTCACCCTGCAAGTGCCGGGTAGGAAGGGAATAGCCCCAGGGCTCAGGAGGGGAGGAGGACAGACAACTTTCCATGGCTGGCCCTTGCCCTGGAGTCTGAGCTGGCCCAGGGCAGAGCAAGGCTATCAACAGCCTCTTTCCACAGAGTTGGGATTTTCAAATAACCTACAAGTTTATCTAGAAGGGGGTTAGTCTCTGGCTTCCCCTGGCCTGAGGCAAGGACCTCCTGCTGGGGCCCTCAGTGACTCAACTTCTACCCTCAGTATTGGTCTGAGGTTTCCAACCCCAGGAGGCCCTCCCCGAGGAGATGGCTGGGAAGGAGGATTTGCATCTTTGCTGTAGTTCCTATGGGATCTCAGAAAAGGTGGGCCAAGGTTGCCCTCCACGATAACAGAATCCAACACCTTCCCCCTCCTCTGCTGCTGGCCCCTACTCCAAGCCTTCTCCCCTCCTCCAGCCTCCCTCAGCACAGCTGCTGGGCCATCCTCTCCTGACATGACAAGTTGGGTATGGCTCTCCTCTGCTTCCAATCCTCCCTCTGACTCTGAGTACAAATCCCAGCTCTTAACACTGGCTGACCTGATTTGGCCTGGTTACCTCCCTAATCTCAGATTAACTATGATAACCTCCACCCTCTGTCCAGCTACCCTGGCCCCCTGGCTGTATCTCAAATTTTCTAGGTACCCTAAACTCTCATACTCTGCCCATGGGAGAGTCAGGGACCCCATGACTCCCTCTCTTATCTCCTCCAGGCATTTGCTCAAAAGTCCCTTCTCAGGGAGGTCTTACTTGGCCTCCCCCTCTAAAATTGCTCCCCCCAGCTCCCACATACCTTTCCTCATTAGCATTTATCATGGTGGAACAGACCACGTATTTTACAGAACATGAGCTTCATGAAGGCAGGCTTTTTCATTTCTGGATCTCAGTGCTCAGACAGTACCTGCTACATAAGTATGTGTTCCGCAAATGCATGAACTTTCCCTTCCTGCGCTCCTTGAGTTATGGGCAGTGTGCTAACCTCGTCCTCTCGAGCCTTTTTGAAAATTTCTCTTCTCCCCTCCGTATCCCCCCCAGTCTGTCCTTGTCATACTCATGGCTGAATCCTCAGGACCGGATTACAGTTTTGGAGTCTTCCCAGGATAAGCCCAATGTCTGCACACTGATAGTCATCATTATGCTCTATGTGCCTATGCTCATCTATAATTATAATTATTATCCTACATGAAAGATCCATTACGGCTCTGTAATTCCAGTGGTAATTGCTGGGCTTCTGAGGACTGAGATGGCTTGGGCCGTGTGTGCCCATTTTTGCCATGGGTGCCCCTGCCACAAGAGCAGGTAGGCCTTGACAAGTGGCAGAGGTGTGCAAGGACTTTCTTCCTCTGCACTGACCCTCACTTAAATTGCTCATGGGAATTAGAGCAGAGGTGACCTAAAGGATAACTGCTATCTGGAAGAATGATCTAGTGTTTCTTCTAGCCTACAACCTACCCACATGAATTTGGGTAGCAGAGTCAAAAGGTTGAAAAGAAGAAGGCGTGGAAGAGTCTTCAACTAAAAATAACCTTTTCTCACTTCTCAACAGTGACCTCGACAGGTGGCCAAGAGCCTGGTCTTCTCAGAAGCCACCTGAGTATCTCTCAGCTGAGCCCTGTCATGCTGTGTGCCGGCTTTCTTCCCCTGGGTCTGCCCCATCCTGTCCCCTAACTGCTCAGGATCAGTGCCTGGAGCCCTTCCCAATCTGACCTCCCTGACCCCGGCCTCCTACCAGGCCTTGTACCAGCCTCTGCTTCCCACTGCTCCCTGGACACATCTGACAGCCTGGTGCTTCTGGACCTTTGCTCAGGTAGTGGCAAGGCCGCCACTCACAATGGGGCCGAGGAAGTCTGTGTGAGATGTCGGCCACATCTTGGTGATCATTCTGCGACCCCTGAGTGGCAGCATCGGGGAGGTTCCGAGGCTGCTTTTCTACTTCAATAGTTTAAGCCATTTCTCTAGCCAGGAAAAGCCCTCCTGGGTGCTGGCTCCTGCCCCTTCCACCCTCCCTGCACCACAGTAAGCAGAGAGCAGCGTCAGCTCCCAGGGAGACAGCTTCTCCAGTCTGACGTAAACGTTCATCAGGGTTGTAACAAATAGAATACCCTTGGTACCCCAGAACACAACTTCAGCTTCTAGGTAAGAGTTAAAACAGCCCTTCCTGCAGAGATGAAACACCCCACTTGCTGCATTAGCCCATCCATAGTGCAATCAGGGAGACAAACAACATGGACAGTAAGTAGAAGAGCTGCCAAATACCCATTTTTCCTCTTTTTCCATTTGCTCCTTTTTCGCCTTTTGGGCCCTGGGGACCAGGTTGTCCGTCTGATCCATTGTGTCCTGGAAACCCACCAACTCCTGGAGGTCCTGCATTGAAACATAGAAACAAGAACATTTTTAAAAATCTTCCCTGAAGTTACTGTGATCTCCTTCAGCTAATAAAACTGAGAAGGGCATTTTTCACACCCTCTCCTGCCTCCTCCCTTCTTGGCTAAAGCAGTGTCCTGTGGGGGGATGGTGACAGCAGGTTTGCAAGTGAGAGGGGCATGGGAGGAGAGACACAGCTAGGGGTGTCCCCAGAATTCTCCCTCGCCACCTTTGTCGCTTCTGAGGGATCCTATGGATCCAGCCTCCCACAACCTCCCTTTGAACTAGCGAAGTCCCTGGGCTCTTACCTGGTGGGCCAGGAGGTCCTACAAAAGAAAAAGAAATTTAGATGATAAACCATGGGTGGAAGAAAAACCAATGCTACAAACCCCAAAACAAAGAGCGCCCTCCCCTCTTAAAATCTCCTAATCACCTTCTGGCTCTAAGGAACTAATCCCACACTTTTTATTTAGAACTCACTATATTTGCCAAAAAAATTCTTAAAAATAATTCAACAAATACCCGTTTGCCAGTCAAACCACTTTTGCTTAAGTTTCAGTAGACCAAGAATAATCTCTGAGCTAGTGTCACTCTAGATCCCCAGATCAACTATCTCTCAAGCAGTCAACCTGATTAACCGAGGCCCTAGTGCAGCCCAGGCACAGGGTGCCAGGAAATGGTGATGCTGTGGTAGGAGCAACCCCCAATGCTCAAGTCTGGTCAGCTGGTCTCTGGGCTGCGGAGGGGAACCAGGAGCAGGAGCTGGCTGGCTGGGTCTCTATTTTGCTGCATAAAATAGCCTGAGAAAAGTGGAAAGCCTGGATCGGGTAACAAATACCTTTCTTAGTGTATAATTACCTGAGGATCTAAGGGGTTCAGACAAATCGTTTATGCATAACCTAATGAAATGATTTTGCATTCACAAATAGAAGTGTCCTATTGTCATATATCCTATTTGAACACTCAGATGAGCTAATAAGGTTGCAACACGAGCAGCCCAGTTCCTTTTGTTTCTCTAGACCACAAGTAATGATTACCAGGGTTGGAACGGAAGGGTCCTCCTGCAAATCAGAGCCGTGGAAAATAAGGATTCAGAAAATAAGGATTTATCTAGCACTTACCGTGTGCACCAAAGTCTACCAAGAAATCTTGGTCCCTGTGCCCGTTGTGTTCACAGTCTATATGGGGAAGGTGGGTTCTTTGAAACCATAGTGCAATGTGGGAGAGCTGCAGGTCTGGGGGTGTGGGCACACAGCCATGTGAGAAGGCTCCCCAAGGTGAGCCTGCAGTCAGGGCCTTGACTAAATGAGGGGCCTGAGATGGCAGCAGATGAGGACCAGCATTCCACATGGGGGCCAGCAGGAGCAAAGGTACAGACGCGAGGACTTGCATGATCCAGGAAGGGGGGAAGGAAGGACTGGCCGAGCTGGAGTGTGCAGAGATGAGGCTGAATAAGGACTTGGGGGTGGAGTGGTGGTAGAAGAACTTGAATGCCGGGCAAGGGGGTCTAGACCATATCCATGAGTCAGGAGGGAGCTACAGGGGGTTCCGAAGCAGGGGGCTGATGCTGGAAGTCAGCGTGGATCTGAGATCCTCTTGGTAGTTAGAAACTGAATGGAACTAGGTGGGACGAGATGAGAAAGGCAGTGACAGACAGGCAGACAGGCAGAGAGACAGAGAGTAACGCTTAGTAGATCTTTGTATTTAAAATCAGTGACTAGATTGTGGTAAATGTGGTGACTGGAGAGTTGTAGAGAAAGCTAGAAATTCAAGAGGCATTTCACCAGAAGGAGCAAGACTCCATGTCTTATGGACAGGAGGCAAACGGGGATGGAGGGAGGCTATTCTGACAGACGTGGGGACTCATGAAAGGACAGGTGCCTGCAGATATGCTTGCGATACTGTGGGCAAATATGATTTACTGAAATGAATTTGCACTCTCAGGGTGAGTACAGCCTGTGGCTACAGAACTTTACCACCAGATGGCGCACGCGCCCTGGAAAGAGGGTGATGGACAGTTACCAGAGGTCAGAGGAAATCAATCATCATTCCCAAGTACATGTGGAGTCAAGTTCAGATGTGCAGGTTGGTAGAAAGACGATTTGACTGTAGGATACAAGATCTGACTGTATATAGTAGGTTTCAAGAGTTCCCGGGATAGCCCAATAACCATGTCCATGCAGCTGGACTACTGTTGAGAATTCCTGGCTGAAGCTGTGTATTTAGGATGTATTTAGGACACACCAGCCCCATGGCCAAGCTTCTCACCATAGTGCTGTGTTTGAATTAGGATGAATTAGGATTTCCTGAAAGAGCTCCACTGACACCTGATGGCTAGAGTGCCTAGCATATGAACCCACAGAATCACCAGCAGTGCTTGTGAAAAGCAGATACCTGGGTCTCATCTGGTGATTCTAATTCAGTCTGGATTTAAAGTAAGACCTGAAAACCTGCATTTTTATGAAGCACTATTGGTGAGTTGGATACAAATGGTCATAGACCCTCTGATGTGATGTGAAATTATCTGGGAAAATGGTCAGTCACCATCCTTAAAGGAGTCTTGACCCTAAAAAGGTTCAGAGCTAGTCTTAAGGCAGGGGTAAAAACTCTGGGCTGGGGTTAGGGGACAGAGAAGGAGGGCCACACCCCATCTGGAGGGAAGCCAGGGAGCGCAGAGGCAGCGGGAAAGAGAGAGTAGTCAGGAGGCACAGGGAAGAAGAAGTCCGGCGGGGCTGCTGTCCAGAGACTAAAGAAGAAGAGAATTTCAGGAGAGAAAGCTCAGAAGTTAGGGCCGCACAGACATCCTGAGGCACCGAGAGCTACGGCCATGGTGGGATGTCCTGGAGTCCTCTCAGCACAAGAGCCTGGCTTATTCCAGGCCCCTGCAACCTGGAAGAAGCCCAGGTATGTCAAATAGTGTCAAATCTCACAATGTGTGCCAGCTGGGCATTTAGGAAGCCATTATTCAGGATGTTCCCATCCTCCCTTTCTTGAATAGCAGGCCCTCAAGGGATACAGCCAGGTTCAGGCTGACAGTGTGCTCAAGGCTGGTGTCCAGGGCTTGCCCCTGTGCAGGTACACAGGGCTCTGCCTTGGAAGGAGGTTCCATGCTTGGGTTTAATGCCCTATAGTCCCTGTCTGGAAATTCTTAATAATCTTATCTTTGGATCTGTGTTTTGTCAGTGAAGTCATGGGGCATGCACTGAGGGCTTGGAAGTCCTGCCTCCCAAGGCAGGTCACCTGCCACCTGCTCCCCTGCCCCATGATGCGTCTTCTACACTCACTGCCCTGCCAATAACTTCTGCCACCTCCACCAGGGATCTTAAGCAGAAGTGCAGGAAAGGCAGGGCTGGAGAGCCCCGGCCTCCTGAATCACAGGGTAGGGCTCCCTGCTGCCCAGGGGTCTGTACTTGCTCTATGACTAGTCCATTCAATGGGGGCGGGGAGGTGTGTGACATTAAGCAGCAAATAAAAACTCCCACCATACCAGGTCAAGACCACAGAAAAAAAGAAAAAAGCCTTTTCCCTGGATAAGAGACGCTGCATTTGCATTTTGTACTCAGCTCTAACTATACCCACCTGACTCTCCCAATCAGAATCCATTAGAATCGGGTGGATGCCTGGTAGCCAGATATTTTTTCTCCTTGAAATCTAAAATTGGGGGTGGTGCCTGTGGCTCAAAGGGGTAGGGCACCAGCCCCATATGCCAGAGGTGGTGGGTTCAAACCCAGCCTCAGCCAAAAACTGCAAAAA